GTCTTCTGAAAGGCCAGGAGCTGGGATTGCCAAGAATGGCCTGAAGCCCAGCTGTGGTGGGAGGAGTAGAGTGAGCCTCAGGTTGTGTTTATTTCTCGGGTCAAGTTCAATCTCCTGAAAGCCCAGCTGAATTAAAATCTTCAGTAGATTCCAGAAAGGATCTTGGAATCACAGCCTGGCCTCTCTCAGCATGGGAGGCCTGCCTCTAGTCCTGAGGAAGAAGGTCTTAGGAGGGGCCTGAAGTATCTTCTTGCCCCTTAGAAATCTCTGCTTGTGCAAGGAGAGCTTGCTAGCTCTGTGTCTTTGGAATTTCAATATTCTATGGCCTGCATCTTCTCTCAAATGAATATTAGACAAATACAAACTAAAAAAAAATATTGGAGAGGTTACGTGTTTTACAGGAAAGCACAACAGCCTTCAAGTGCTTTCCGGTTCTAAAGTACACCCAAATCACGTGGGGGTCTTGTTCTAATGCAGAGTCAGAGTCTTAGGTCCAAATGGAGCGCAACAGTCTGCATTCCTGGCAAGTGCCCCCAGAGTGCTGGTTCTGTTGGGCCAGGCCTTATGCTCTGAGGAGCAAAATCTAGATGACCTCATTTCAAGTACTGACTTGTCACAGCCTCAGTTTCCTACCTGCAAAATAAGGGACTTTGAACTAAAATACCTTTTCATTCAGATCACCAGCAGCAGCGTGAGTGGAGAACTGAGAGGCTGGTCTATGTCAAGAGCACTCTGCTCTGAGCTTTCAAGGATTCCCTGTTCACCACCATGAGAGCAAAGTGGAAATCGGAAAATAGACAAGAAATGCAGTNAGAGGCTGGTCTATGTCAAGAGCACTCTGCTCTGAGCTTTCAAGGATTCCTTGTTCACCACCATGAGAGCAAAGTGGAAATCGGAAAATAGACAGGAAATGCAGTTTGTGTCCTTGCTAACATTGAAAAGTCTGGCTTTAATTAGATCATGGAATTAGCAAATAAACCTTCTAATTGTGCTGTTTGTTTTAAGTAAGCTACTAGGTAGGCTTACTTCTCTCCCATGGCATGCCCAATGGGACAGTCTAATTACCAGTAATAATCTAACTTAAGCGCACAAGGTTATTACCTTAGAATTTGAAACATATTTTTAACTAGAGTAGAAGGGAAGATACAGCTTAATATTACTTTTTTTAAAAACCTATCAACTGTGGAGGAATTTAATACCATCTTGAAATCTTTTTGTCCTTCAGAATCCTCTCAGATGTTCCCTCCTCAGTGAAACTTTCCCAGAGGCCACAGTCAGAATCAGTAGCTACCTCCTGCCTCTCTGGCTCCATCAGATTGTGCACCTCATGGTTGAGCTCATTCGGTTATGTGCCTATTACCANTCACGGTTGAGCTCATTCGGTTATGTACCTATTACCTCCCTCACTGAATTACAAGCTCTCTAAGCCATCTTGATGGAGTGGAGAGTTTAGGGACTTGGCGCCCAGGTACCTGAGTGAACACTTCAGCACTGTCCTGTCCTGGTCATGTGTCCCCAGGAGGCCATGGAAAGTTCTGGCCTGGATGCCCCTTTCTGTAGTGGCCATGATCCATGATTGGATGGGGTTGTTGGGAAGGTTGCATGAAATAATGGGTGTGACACTGTCTTCCTCCTTTCCTGACTTAGAGTAGGCGTCGGATGAATGTTTGCTATGTTTTACCTTCTATAAGGCCAGGGATCATGACATAAATCCTTACATTCTCATGCTTCAGGGAAAGTCATGCAAAGTGGGTGCTTAACAAATTCTTTAAAGTTGAATTTAATATCCTTTCTTTTAAGGAGATTGAGTGTATTTATTTTAGGCATAGTAATAATACAAGATGGAAGCAGAACTGTTTGATTTTCCCCTAATAGCTGGCAGTGAATGTGTTTCTGGAATATATGAAATGTATTTTGAAGTAGTTATTAAAATTCTGACAGAGATTTATTTCTGGTTTGCTTAGTTTAGAAATCCTGAACACAAGTGGAAAAAAGATAAGCACTATACAGGAAAAAACCTATATTTAACAGGCAATTCCTATAGGATATCCATTTTTATATATTTATATGTATAACATTTCTGGAAGAGTTAGAAAAAAATTAATAATAGTTACCTTTGGGAAGAGAGTCAAAGGTGGAAGAGAAGGAAAATTTTATTTTCATTTTATACATTTCTATATGGCTTGAATTTTGGGCCGTGTAGGCATGTTGGTTTGTTTGTTTGTTTAAATATATGTCAATAGGGATATCTGGGAGAATGGAAGGATGGGCCATTTAAATTTTGCTCTTTTATATATTAAAAGCCCTAATACATGTTACTTTTAAGTTTATTTTCAAATGGCTTGAGTACAAGGTGGTAAAGAGAAATGAGGGTTTTCTGCCCCTTGCCAAGTCCCTAGGCTGTCTCCATCACAGAAGTTCAGGGCGAGCTCAGCCTGCTCAGCTCCTGGGGTGGGGCTGTGTCCTCACAGTACTGCTGGGTGGGGGAGACCTAGCACCCAGTTATGAGCCCTTAAAGACTGGAATCATCCATTCTTAAAGCCATGCTCTGGCTTGGTGAAGATGAGACTGCAGGTGACTTCCAGGGAGAAGGGGGCCAGCCTGGCAGGAGCATCATCCCTGCCGCACCGGTAAAGCAAGGGAGTTGCCCTCGTTGGACCATAGTGCAGAAGCTTGATCTTTTTAACAAGAGATTGGATTTTCATTTTTCCTCTGGCACTACCGAGTTTTCAACATTGACGCCCCTTACAGCCCATCAGGGTTGGGAATGTGCCCCTTTGGAATGTCTTAGGAGTAGCACACCCCTTGTCCTGTACTAGGGTACATGAAGCATTTCTCCCTAGCTCCTGTCAGTCATTTTCTGTTACCCCCAACTTAACTAATTCTGTGAAGGTGGTGCCCAGGGAGAAGGCACCTCAGAGACGTCTGAGGTACTGCTTTCGATTCTAGGTGGTACCACCCACCACACAGGGGCCTGGACAAACCAGGATGTTTTCTCAGGAGGACAGCCAGGATTGTTAAAGGATTCATAACCACATTACACAATGAACTGGGGCTGGCTAGAATGTAGTCCCCACTCACTTTTCTGTGGTCAAATCATTAACTTCTCCGTACCTCAGGCCTCTCCCCAGTGAACTGGGCTTCCATGGTATTAGCCTCTGAGGGTCGTCATGAGGAGTAAATGAGTCAACTCGCACAAGCACTGAGAACTGGGAAGGGTTCAGGAATGCTAATGACCATTTTTTGTTCCTGGGGCTGCAGCTCCAAGAAAGACTCCCAAGTCTTCAGACTGCAGCAGCCACAGGCCACTTCTGGCCTGTGGGAGCTCACTTTCTGACTTGTAGGCATTTTTAAAGACAGACATTATTACGAACAAGCTTAGCTACTGATTATTCTTCTGAGAGGCACCAGCAGCAAACTTGAGCCTCTGATAGATAAGAGATAGGCTGTGAACGCGGTTCCTGGGTGGATCTGTGTGCATCCGGACTCCTTTGCTTTGTGCCGAAGCATTCTGTACGTTGTCTTCTGGACATGCATTGGGCCCCATGTGTGTAAGCTCTTTATTAAGAGGGGTGATCTGTGCATGGTCAGCCTCACAGTACAGAGAAAAATAAGCCATCCCCACCCAGGCAAGGCTGACCAGCCACCTCCTTGCAGTACCCCAGTGTAAATAAAGACAGCTTTTGTTTTGCCTTATCTGCAATTGCCCCAACACTGGCCATTCACCCTAGCTGTCTGTACTTGGCCATCTGCAAAGGAGCATCACATGCCGTTGATGTGAGGATCGCCTGACTTTGCCAAATGTTCTCTTTCTGGGTCTCATATTGATCCATTAATTGTGTGTTAAGCAAATGAATTCAGGGTGAGTGTTTAGACAGGCTATTTCCCAAATGGATCTAAAGCAGTAAATCAACCAGCGGTTGTTTTTTAACTTAGTACTTAGATACTGCTGAGCATCTTGAATGTGCCTTTGAAAGGCGGCTGCTCACATGGTGCTTCAGAGAAGCAAGGGGGAAACGCAGAAATCAGTGATAGTTGCAGCGTTTTAACCCCACTTCAGATTTAATGAACTTCCATTATTAACTATGCCATTTCCCCTGGACGTCGGACACCCTTCTGGAAACCTCCCTGGAGGAACATTTGCTTCACCTAAGGTTATTTGACCCTGAGAAAGAATCTGGACAGGGCTATGGGACCTGGTTTTTCAGAAGAAGCGAGTGAATCAGAAAATTCAAGTGTATACTCAGTGATGCAAGAGGTACATCGGTCTAGCTGTTGATTTTCCACTTGTTTCCCTCATGAAAGCAAGGCCAACCGTGATGAATTTCATAATCCCCAAACTGCTAACAGCCATTTCCCTTCTCCTTAGGCTCCTTAAACTCCTGACTCCAAGAAAAAGTTTCCTCTTATGAATGGAGTTTGAGACTATGTTCATATTAAATCTTATAATCTCTAAACTCACCTTCCCTAGCTTTCTTTCCTTCCCAAGAAGGGCAGGGCATTCCGAAGGGACTCTCGAGAAAGAATCCTCTAAGGGGTTCCTAAGGGTTTACCTTGGCCCGGTTCATGTGCTGCAGGCAGAGACTGGCAGCAGGCTGGGGAATCCACGTTGGCCTGGAGCCCTTGACTCAGCCCCTCATCGTGGCCTTGTCATGGTACGTTAGGCATTCAGACAAAGGTGGTGTGGCCGTGACTCACACTGCAGGATTGTTCTGTGTGGAGACCCTTGTGCCTGCCCACCCTGTACCCATCCCCACTGGGCTGGTGAGAACGTGACCCTTTTGTCTTCTGCCCTTGCCGTTGGTCATGGCAGCCAGAGGCAGCCCACGGAGCTTACTTTCCAGATTGAATGCTGATCTGTGTGTCCTAAGGGATATATTTTTAAAGGAACAATTTCCCACGCAAAACTCTGGAATGTCTTTTGTCCTTGTTCATTTGCTGTTACGTGTGTCATTTACTCCCAATCTCTGACGTGTTTCTTTGTTTTCTGTGTGTTGCAGGCAGCATAGTCTACCTCGGGATGATGGTGGGGGCGTTCTTCTGGGGAGGACTGGCGGACAAAGTGGGAAGGAAACAGTCTCTTCTGATTTGCATGTCTGTCAACGGATGCTTTGCCTTCCTTTCCTCGTTTGTCCAAGGTTATGGCTTCTTTCTCTTCTGTCGCTTACTTTCCGGATTCGGGTAAGGTTTTTTCCTTCATATTTTATAGTAATGTGTTTATTCTTCATAATTGTACGTGTTCTCCACTCAAGAGGACCTCGTTACCAAGAAATTATCCCCTAACGCATCTCCTTCCCTAGCTTCTTGTCAGCCGTATGGGCCATGGCGCTGGTTCTTAGCAACACGATTATCAGCCTTTACATCCAGGAGAGAAGGCAACACATGTCTAGGTTCTCGTGGCTAATTTTTTTAGTGTTTTACTTCTAGAAAATGGGTATTGTTTTAAATGGATGGCTATTTCTATGGCAGAGCACATTTATAAATGTATTTTTTTTCTAAAAATTTAATTTACGCAAAAAATAGCTCTGGTCCTACATTAGAAACTAATTAAAGGTTCAAACCTTTCAGACATTCTCTTAAATCCAGGATAAGAGCGTCTCCAGTAAATGTTGCTTTATTGATCTATATTAACAGCATATTTAACGAGGTAGGAAGCCTACTTCCTGAGATGTAATAGGTTTGTTTTTTAACTCCCTGACTTCTGTTGAAGTAACAGAAGTTGTGCTGTTAGCCAAGTGCAATGGCATAGCATAGCCAATGGTGTAGGCATTTTCCTTAAAGGACTTAAAGCACTTATTACTACTGAGTCAATCCACAGCTTAGGAAAACCCAAAAGCTCAATTAGGAGAGTCCAAGAAACTCTGCTTTGATAAAGAAAAAATTTCTCATTTTTTCTTGAGAACTTTATTTCTATTAGAGACATTCTTTCTGGGGTGTCTAGCATAAGATGAATCTATAGGACTCATTTAAAATAAAAATAAATAAATGCCCTGCCAGGCGTGGCTCAGCGGTTGAGTATCGACCTAGGATCCAGGCAATCGGGGTTCAATTCCCGGTTAGGGCACATGCCCGGTTGCGGGCTTGATCAGTGACTCTCTCATCATTGATGTTTCTATCTCTCTCTCCCTCTCTTTTCCTCTCTCTGAAATCAATAAAGATATATTTTTAAATAAATAAATAAATAAACGAAGAAAGGGAAGGAGACTGTGCTGGGTTATGAATTTGAGAAGCGTATCAGTTGTGGTTGTTGATGATAGAGGTGCCCACACAGCAAAACATAGTTTTGCCAAAAGAGAAGCTCAGAGAACTGCATGTTTTTTGAATTACATAAAGTAGTACTTAAAGTCAGTGCTAAGATTAGTAGGAATATAAAGCATCAGAAAGAAAGACTGCATAAGTGGGTTACTTCAAGAGGACAAAGATTTCCCCATGCGGACTAATGGGTCACTTTTATAGCTCATTCAGAATAATTTAAAATTTTTATATTATTTTCTGACACCAGATTTGTGTACATGTTTTTCTGATGTTCTTTTTTCATCTTCTTATAACCCGTCATATGCTACATTCTGCACACGATGGGTACTTTGCAAATGTGAGACTAAATTGTGCAAGTTCCAGGATATTTCATCCGAGTTAATACATTTCAGTAAACCATTCCAGTAAACCTAGAGGGTCGGGAAGTTTGGGGAAGTATAAAAATAGTTTTTCCTTGGGAAAAAAATTTTCAGAATTAATCATTTGCTTTGTGATGGTGGAGGAAGGGGGCTTTTCCTCAGTAGAGGGGATCTTTGATGCTCAAACCTCTGTGTGAGATTGGCTTCATACACTGCTGATGTGAGGAGGTAATTTGGCTCATGGATTACAGGGCTGCAGGCTAACTAATTCTGAGTGGATTGAGATACCTGAGAAAGAACAGGTATTATTTGGGGCTATTTGTTAAAGGACCTTCTCAGGGTCCATAGAACAAGACATTCTTACCACCAGGAAAGGCCAAGGTTTTCTTTTGCTTTCTGTTACCTACGTAAGTCAGGAGAAGGCTACTAGCCTAAGTTCTGAACTTTCCAGTCCTTTTCATTTGCAATCGTATCCAGGAAATTTCAACCATATCCACAGACTCAAAAGTACCTGACTGTGGCCAAATTAATGTGGCAATATTAATTGCCACTCTGGATTGTCACGTGGTCAACCCAGTTAACTGCAGAGAAAAGGGCCATTGTGGTGGCTGCAAAATACTCAAAACGAATGGACTGTCCAGAAGCCAATTCAAGGGCAGTGCAAAAGCAGAGACTGCTTGGGTATATTCATGACATCATCCTCTTCCCTGTTGCAGACAAATCATCCTTCAGCTCGCAGGGCTGCTGACCTCTAAATAACACAAGTTACCTGGCAGAGCACAGACTATGTATTGCTAACTCAGCTAGGCTGTCTGAACTGTGATGCCAGAGGCAAGTGCGCTGTGCCTTTGTGCAGTTGGCACAGGACTGGAAGTCCAGCGGTCTAAGTCCATCTACCCCGCCCTTCACTGTGGGGCCTCAGGTTCTGCAGTCTGAGTCATCTTTTGAAAGGGAGTGTGAGGATCAGGTGAGACAGAGTATTGACAGTAAGTGGTAGCGGAGGACATGGGGGTAATGTCTAGGGTCGCGCCCCATGGTCTGGCACTTCCCGTCCTCTTTGTTCTTCATCCGTGCCTTCAGCCAAGCTGCCTGTTCTCATTGCCTCAGAGTGACAGCCCAGGGAGAGGGGAAAAGAGGCCTCTTTCTGGCTTTGAAACTTCAAGTCGTGCCCATGAGGGAGACAGAAAGAAGGAATCATAGGCAGAGGACTTGGGAGAAGCCAGGGCAATAACATGGAGCCTCCCTGCTCCCCAGAAGAGACGGAGATTCCCTCGGCTGGGGGCAGGGCTGAGAGGAGCCCCGTGACTTACTCGCCTGGGGCCCAGGTGGCAAAGCACCCAGAGTCTTGTGAGATCGGCAGCGGAGGGGACCTGAGAGATAAGGTTAAAGAAAATGAAGAAAGTTATTCTTCTTCCTTGGCTGAGTTTATGGGTCGTGTTACCTACATGTGACATGTGATGGACCACCTCAATGACAGAGGATTTTTTCATAAGTTTTTAAAGTATAGTTGGTATACAATATTATTTTGGTTATACGGGGTTGGGCAAAAGTAGGTTTATAGTCGTTTGTATGGAAAATAATACAATAATTAATAAAAAAACAATACAAGAATAAACTGTGTTTCTTGTACTCACATCTGTAAACCTCCTTTTGTGTTTTGTGTACTCACAATTGTAAACCTTCTTTTGCCCCACCCTGTATTAGTTTCAGGTGTACGATATAGTGGTTCAACATTTCTATACCTTACAGTGTGATCATCCCACTAATTCTAGTAATCATCTGTCATAATATTATTGACTGTATTTCTCTTCCCCTTTTCACCCATTCCCCTCAACTTCTCCCTCTGGTAACCATCCCTTTGGTCTCTATCTCTATGAGTCTGTTTTTGTTTTGTTTGTTCATTTGATTCTTTTGTACTTTTTTTTAGATTCCACATAAGTGAAACCATATAGTAGTTGTCTTTCTCTGCCTTAATATAATACCCCCTAGATCTATCCATGTCGTCACAAATGACACAATTTCATTCTTTTTTACTGCTGCATAATATTCCGTTATATATATCTCGCATCTTCTTTATCCTTTCATCTGTTGGCCATCAACTAGGTTTCTCTCAGCAGCCCTAGAGTTCATCAGGACACCCTGTCTCTGAATTGCTGGGTGGTCTCAGCCAAGTCTCTATTTTCTCCAATTCCACTCCAGTTCACCTCACAAAAACACTTTGGCACCTGCTCTACCCCTGAAACCTCGCTGGACCTTTCACGGGTATAGAGGAGCCCTGGCCCCAACATGCTTTCAGTCCGGTCATAGAGGAAGACACACTAACAGCTCTCTCGCTTCCACCTACTGAGAACAGTTGGTGTAGAACAGAGATGACCGGGGCATGGGAAGAAGGGAAAAATAATGATAAGACTGAATGAGACCAACTTCCACACGGAGGCTGTTCTTATTTTTAAAAGCATTGCACTATTTAGACCTTTTGATTCCCATCGCTTATGAACTCGGTACATAAGCAACTGAAGTGTTGCTGTATCGCCTTTTCATTTAAACATACTTCATTAAAAGTTAAGCCAAACACTTAGGACTTTCACCCCGGAAACCTTGAATATGAGATCTTGGTATACTTACTTAGTTAAGCAGCTCCCTCCATTCACACCTGAGCTGGTTTGTAAATTGAGGAAAAGTAGGTGGGCAAGGAAATGAGGTCTAGAATGTTGGGAAGTTTTCTGTGGGTCTTTGGTGCTCAGATCCTCCAACGCTCTACGCATTTCCCGGGAGCATAGCTCTTGCTATCCTTTTAGCTTTAAAGGTTCTTCTCCTAGACCCTCAGTGCTTATGACCTCAGCGAGGCCGTCCTGAGACCAACCTCCCAGTGTTTTTCACCACAGAAAGTCACTAGGAGTTCTCTTTTGTCTTCTTCTTCTTTTTTTTTTTTTAATGTATCTTTATTGATTTCAGAGAGAGGAAGAGAGAGGGAGAGAGAGATAGAAACATCAATGATTGATAGAAACATCAATGCTGGGGATTGAGCTTGCAACCCAGGCATGTGCCCTGACTGGGAATTGAACCGTGATCTACTGGATCCTAGGTTGATGCTCAACCCCTGAGCCATGCCCAGCTGGGCTCTTTTGTCTTCTTGATAGCACTTACCGATGCCTTAAAATACTTGCTTTTATGTGTTTAGTGTCCCCCTCCACCAGCCTGGGAGTTCCAAGAGGGTAGGCACTGACAAGACAAGTATGTCTGCTCTTTACAGCTTAATTTCCCAAGGTGTGTGTGGTTGCTGTAAAGGTCGGAGTCAAAGCAGCAGCTGGAATAGTCTGACCACACAGACCTATGTGGATGGTGCTCCTAGAAGTGAAATAGATACGAAGTTGACTACTTCTTGATCTGTATAAGCAGAAGAGTTCTAGGTCAAGTGAACAAAAGTTTAACTTGAATCATAAAAACAGAGAGTCATGGCCCCTCAATCAGTTCCCAGACTTGAGCGAGGTTACAGATGAAGAACCCCTTGGGTGAAAGGGAGACTGGGTGCCCTTGAGGAAGGATCCCAGTACACTCCTGAAACTT